TAACCCGGGGGCCCCGTATCATTGATACGGCTGATACGGCGGTAGCTACGCCCTTGGGTGGCGATCAAACTAACCCTAGTTTGCATACTATTAAATTAACGGTATACCTTTAACCCTGACCTACCCTGGCTCTTAATAGGATGAAATTAAAAAAAAACCCCGAGGGGGTTGACAGCGACTAATGAGCAACGGGCTACTCGAACCACGTTTAGCCAAAAATGGGCTAAGATGGAGAATTGTGAAAGAAATTATAGGTGGCTAACCCTTCGCCTACATAATCACAAAATCACGTCGTATCTACGTACGTACGTAATAATATTAGTCCCTTTTTACGACATGCTCGGCAAGTAACACACTTGGTACATTTTTGTTTGAGTTCCACATACGCATAGGACCTATAAGTTTCAAACCACATGGGACTTCATTTTCATCATCAACATAATGTAAGTAAAAGTAACAGCCTATATATGTCTCATTAACATAGTGGGCATAGACCTTCATTCATTACCTAAAGGGTTTTAATTAAGGCAAGGAAAAGTCCGCTACGCTGCCCCCATGCGTGAGAGTGGTTCATGTGAGTTATTAGTAATATTTATAAAATATCTCAGTCATGCAGGTAGGTATCTCACGACGTCTGCCTTTACCGCCGAACAGGTGTCAAATTAGCTGTTAAAACTGTTATTAAAATTTTCATCGGTGCCTGCGAGGCTTAAACTCGTTTAGTCGTGTACTATGAAACTTTTTGACGAACGCTTATTCCCTGGTATATCACGGCTGTGAAATGATCACCGTGGTAAAAATTGTAACATCCTCTCACTTTGGAATTCAACATAGCAGTGATGTCCTCCATACCGAATTTTGGTCTCGGTTACTAGGTTCAACAGAGACACCCACACCCTCATCACCCCCCGGACTAACGGCTTTACGTGCTTTCCAAGGCGCAAGGGTGAAACACCGCTAAATTCCTGACTCCAAGCCACTATTGAAAATGTCTTTACAGAAAAACCCAATAACTTATTTTACTCGACCCGGGATTAGAACCCGGGATGATTCACCGTGATCGATTACGCTTACAACCAACCGTTGTTGAATTAAGAATATTTTTCAACTAACTTATTGTTTCTTCCGGATCTAGATGGGGCGGATAATTCATGTAGTATAATTTTTTCTTTGAACTTTATAATCACTTTTAATAAGTCAATTTATGTGAATTATACTTTTATTAATATACATTTTTGAATTGTTTTATTTTATTTTATAGGATAGGGTAACAAACGGGCACACAGTCCACCTGATGGTAAGTGGTTGCTGTGACCCATAGACATCTACATCTATCCTCAATTAAGAATCAAAATGCAGATGCGTTGTCACCCGTGAGGACTAAGATGTAGTGCCTCTTTTCCAGCAAACACAACCAAACACAGCAGTGTTAAGCTGCTATTTTACGCTGGTATTCTGTGAGAGCGTGGTCCTTCCCCGTTCGAGCCGACCTATTCGTGCCACAACTATACTAGTAATATAGCTGCAGCATGGCTGACCACGTATAACGTATGTTTATATTGTTATTTTCTTTAAAAAAATTCAGCCAGGTGCTTCCTAGAAATTTCTACCTTGAAATGAAACAGTGTTTACGGATAGAAACTTACTTCCTTGGTGTTTAATTATACATTGACATGAATCAGTTACGGCGTGTAAATACAAAACAGCGGTCAGCACGCGTATAGAAATACAAATGGCTGCACTAACTCACTTTATTTGTATCCAATGCATGCGATCATGCAGTTTCTGACACAACTTGAAGCATTCTTTTCCGACCAAATAGATTTTTCATACGTCAAAATAAAACGCTTTTATATGTGGTAGAGCCATGCTGCAGTTACGTTATGAATGGGTCAACTAGACCGGGAAGGACCACGCTCTCACAGAACAGCAGCGTAAAATAGCGGCTTAATGCTGCTGTTTCGTCTGGTGATTGTAGAGACCAGGAGAACCTTTTTACTGAAGAGAGGAACGGGGCATTCCAACTTAGTCCTCAGGGGTGACAACGCATCTGCATTTTGCTTCCTAATGGAGGAAAGATGTAGATGTCTATGGACCACAGCAATTATTTACTATCAGGTGAACTGTGTGCTTGTTTGTCAACCTTATTCTATAAATATCTTCATAGACAGCAATTTGGAAGAACAGTAATATTCTTATCACAATTTAGAGGCATTAATATATATATTTTACCTAAGATAATCACACTTTATAAGCACATCAGTGTGCACATGCATGATTTTTTTTATAAGATAAAGGTAACAAACGAGCACACAGTCCACCTGATGGTAAGTGGTTGCTGCGGCCCATAGACATCTACATCTATTCTCTATTACAAATCAAAATGCAGATGCGTTGTCACCCGTGAGGACTAAGATGGAATGCCTCATTTCCAGTAAAAAGGGTCACCGGTTCTCTACACTCACCATACGAAACACAGCAGCGTTAAGCTGCTATTTTACGATGGTACTCTGTGAGAGCGTGGTCCTTCTCCAATCGAACCGACCCTTTCGTGCTACAACTATACTACTAATATAGCTGCAGCATGGCTCTACCTTACCTATATCTAAGAAAGTATTGGTAAAATAAACTAAGTTACCACGCGGCCAATTTGAAACCCAACAAAACTTTTTATTGCTATCGAAATTGTCAACTGCACTGAAATGTTTTACCGTTGCCGTTGCAGCCTATTAAGGTCCACTGCTAAACATAGGCCTCCCCTATAGATTGCCTCATAGGGAGGATAGTTATTTTTATTTTTAGTCGATATTAGCAAGCCGCTGCTGCTCATCTCCTGATTTGTTTCCCTCTGTTTCCTCTTACGACATTCACAGGATGATATGGGGTAGTGGATATTCTTACACCGCCACTAACATGGTCAATATGTTTTACAATAAGTGTGAACCAAATAATAATTTAAAATAAAAAATTTTGTACAGCCGACTTCAATATAAGTTATTAAGAATAACTCAAAAACCATTGGTCTAACCTTGATCTAATTCATATGGGACCACACGAGAAGTACCAGCTTTCAAATAAAAAATCATCGAAATCGGTTCTCCCAGTAAAAAGTTATGAGGTAACAAACATAAAAAAAAACATACAGTCGAATTGAGTACCGTCTCCTTTTTGGAAGTCGGCAGAAAACACTCCCCCTTTGTTAGGTACGTTGAAATTTGAGACTTGATATGAAAACCTTATTCGATAAGGCCACAAATAGAGTGGGATGTAGAATAAAAGTCAAATATGCAATGCCAATATACCTCAGGCCTGCTTTAAAGACAACAATTTGTGTAAACCTAGTACTTTAAACTTAGAGTTGAAACCCCTAAGTTCTAAGTTGTTAACAATAAATAAAAGTTAGTTAGTTAAAGTTACAGCCTATATACGTCCCACTGCTGGGCACAGGCCTCCCTTCATTTCTGAGAGTGTTTTAAGACAAGGAAATGGCCGCCACGCTGCCCTAATGCATGTTGGCGAACTTCACATGTTTTCGAATTTTTTTTTCTTATTTCCTCACGATGTTTCCTTCACCGTCGAGCACGTGGTAAAATTGCAATTAACAATTTCATTGATGCCGGTGGGGACCGAATATATTGCTCGCGTACTATGAAATTTACAGCGAGCGCTGACTGTCTGAGCTACCACGTCACAACAAATAAATCATTATACAAATAGATTTTATTTGTAGTTTTTATTGAAAGAACTGTTTTATGATATTTTCCAAAGTGTTCTTCAAGAGTGTTCTTTGTCTATTAACAAAAGATGGTCACCAAAGAGTATATAATCACTACGTTTAATGGTCACTAGCAAACATAACTCGTAATATATGATTAAATTCACTTTAAAGCCAATACAGTATAATCATTTAGATGACAGCGCAAAATTGTTACATTGGAAAGTTAACTAATCAGTTTTTTCTTCCACGTTGAGTAATCTTTTAATCGTAGACGAATTTTTTATTATAGATAATTCCCTCAGTTTCGTAAACGCGTTGTAATGGCTTTTAACGTATACTATAATTAATAGTTACCTCTATCTTTTTACGATTACTAAAATATTCCGTGCGACGAATACGTACCTGCATACTAAACTTACTTTGGTTTTCCCAAATAAACCCGCCCATAATAAAGAAAGTGTATAATTTGCATAATGTCACTGATTGAATAGTTTTGCGAATTGTGTAATAAATAATATGGCATATTATTTATTACACAATTTATATTATTTAAGTGTTTTGTTACGAGATTTTATTAGATGAGTATAATTTGAGTGACATGATGTTTACTAATCACATAACTATAGCCAAAGGCTCGCCGTAAGTTAAAAAGTTCACACTATTGTACTTATTTGAGCAATCCGGGTTCAATCCTTGCCGCTACCAATGAAATTTTTATAGGAGTTTTGGCGCAAACTGGACCGCCGGCGGTTTGCTGCTCCTGTCTTATTGTTTAAATAATGGTTTGAAGTGGACTTTGATAAGTAAAAGTGGTGCGATTTTCTGTATGACACTTAGTCTTCGCATGTGAACTATTAGTGGAAGCCGTAAAACAAGTGCTCTGATGGTAATGTGATTCTCAAGATAAGGTGTCTGCTTAGGCGCCTTGAGATACCATTGCCAACTGTCAGCTGTCTGCTGGCTCAAGTTGCCGTCATAATCTCCCAAGGGTTGCACAATGTGACCCATCAACATATTGTGAAGCAATGTACTATGAAGGATAATTATACATTGTAACTTCAGGCTCAGAAGGGCTAGAACCCAGAGTCGTAAAGCCAGTTATAAAAATTATCACTTTGTGTCCAATTTTCATGCACAGTACCATCTAACCCTTATCAGTAAAATCGTAATATCTTTCAATATAATCAACACTGTGAAGAATCTAGTTGTTATACATCCGACAGTCATTTTATTACTTTGCAACTCTGAACACATTTTAATGTTTTCTTTTTTTACCTACCAGACTAGAAATTCTAAAGGCGGATTCGTCGCTCAAAAGCAAAGCCAAACGCAACGAATGGACTTGGAAGGCACAAACAGACGTCGTGAAATGGCAGGCGACGCCGTTACGGGCGCCATTGCTTCGACTCCCTGCCGCACTAGCGCCCCCTGCACTCGAGTGCTTCACGTGTGTTCGTGCGTACTGCGGAGACCTGCAGCCCGCTGAACGAGCCGTGCATCAAGACTTGACTGAAGTTAAATGCGTGTACACAGTACTGATGGTAAGAAATTAAACCGTTTGCCTGCACTTTTGATTTTCCCTCAATACTTATTTGAGTTCTAAATATTTGATAATAATCTACTTTAATAATATATATAATAATATATTTTAAAGATATATTGGTGATATTTAGATGGTTATAAAAAAATCAAACAAATGCCGTGTAGTGGAGGCTTAAGATAATCAATGACCCCATTTGAGTGAGTGTGAGTGCGGTAAAGGGCGACCACGGGATATACTAAAAAGATCTTGTGGTTTAAGATAAATGGTTAATGGTTATATAATCTTCTCGTTAACGCCAGATGTAAAATACCGAATCCGATGATGTGGAGCAGCGACACACGACACGGTTGGAGAAGTTTAGTACTGTGTTAGGCAATATGTTTGCCAAATGTGGCGATTTAGCAATCCTCTTTACAACAGGTGAGGTCCATATACTACAAAGGATTTTAACGGGCTAATGAGGTTAGCTGTTATAAGTACACCTTAAATTTGGTTGACTGCTATCATTACTGATCTAAGAATCTTTTATATTCACATGTGATACTGATTATAAACTGGTGTAATATAAGGACAAAAGGAGATAATCAAAAAGTAAATCAGAAATTCTTCTAATTTTACGTAACAATTTTACTACCGAAAGTTATTGCTTTAATTATTAAACGTAACCACAGTTAAGTAAAGTTAATCATATCGCATGATATTTTGAAATAGTAAATTTAAAAAAAAATCTTTATCCAAATACCTGTTCCCCACAGCACTGTCACGCGGTACCGGAACTGCGCGACGAGGTGTACTGCCAACTGATGAAGCAGACCACGTCCAACCGCTCGGCTGCGGCGGACTCGTGCCAGCGCGCCTGGCGCCTCATGTCCATACTCGCCGCATACTTCACCTGCTCCGAAACGCTCAGGTTAGTACGATGCTCCGTTAGTAACTAACGTCGTTAAATATTTTTTTAAATGAAATGATAAACGAACTTGCAGCCCATGTTACGGTAAGTGGCTACTACTGTTTATGAACACCTTTTTCATCATGGACACTTTCAGCTGCTTCAGCGGACTACAGAAAGGTTATGCCGTACTTCTACCAGCTAAAATGGTTTAATAAGAGACGACTAAGGAAAGGCTCAGAATATCTTGAGGCTTCCGAAAGATGGCGGTATAAACATTTTATGTAGTTATACAAGATATAAACTCCCCAGACCAGCGGCAGAAAGCGGTCCCAAAGGTGAGAGTTACAGTTCGCCTGATCGTAAGTGGCTGCTGCAGTCTAATGGACATCTACAGGTCTTCTATCTGTAATTGTTGTTGCATATAGACTAAATAATGTTTATTATATTTATGTTGTTCAAATAAATTAAAAAATGTGGTGTAACGAAACTCATTTTCAGGATACTAGAAAATACATTGTGATGATCTCATTTTCTGATATCACAATATATTTTCCTAATTGTCCGAAACCGAGATAAATCATTATAAAATAAAGACGACAAAAATTTATTTCTAAAACTAAAATATAAAGAAAGTACTTTTATATTTATATCTATGACCATATCATTTCGCTTAAACTACTCCTTGTAGGCCTTTCCTGGTGGAATACCTATCAGCGGCAGCGGCGGACAGACGAAGACCATGTCAAGGCACGGCGGCTGTATGCCTCGCCAACTTGAGAAAGACACTGAGGTGCGGCGGAAGAAAGAACGTACCTAGCGTCGAAGAGGTGAGTTTCAGTATTTAAATAAAGTTGATCTTTCGAGCCGGATCATAAGTCTCAATTTTCAATATAAAGTATTATTCTAAACTCTTGCCATGTTGTGGCGGCGTAAGGGAATTAATCAGCAGACCCCATACCCCCCCCCCCCCCCCCCCTGCCACCCACCATGCGTATCATACAAGGCTACTATGGGAAATGTTAGAATAATCTTAACGTTTTGAACGAAAATACCAATATAAAGCAATATACCATTTCTACTAGTAGGATAACTGATTGGGCGCGTTGCAACCGGAGGCGGACACGACGCGTTCCAGCACGCACCGTGTATATACCGTACATACCGTACACCCGCGTACTTGGGCGGTTCTCACTACCTATAATATTGACCGACACGAACTAAGCAGAGGCAGGGGTACGCACACCCCCACTCGGATATCGGTTAGATAGCTAAAAAAACCTCAACAAAGGGGACACGATGATTAGTAACAATATCAAATCACAAACCAACATCATCCCCATCCTCATCATCATTGTCTTTCCCTATTTAAATAGCTCGCGGCCTTTCAGGCCGTGTCAGATGAAGCTCTAAGAGCCGTATAGGCAAACAGCATTAACATCAGAAAATAGATATACCATTTCGTTTACGTCATACGTTGTAATCCGAGAGCGGCGACTGGTAGCAGCGTTAAATGTGCAAAACATCGGGACTGTGATCCGCAAGGCGTGCGTGATGATCTGGGCAAATGCCCTCTACATACACTCGCCATACGAAACACAGCAGCATTAAGCTTATATTTTACGCTGGTATTCTAGGACTAAGAAATAGTCTTCAAAAAGCGTCTATAAAACATCTTTGCTAAATAGTCTTGTGTAATTAACACATAAACTTATATTTCGAACAAAATTATAAATTCATACTTGTACTATTGCAATGGCCCGAGCATCAAGTACTACGCAGCGGAGCCTGGAAATAAATTTCAGCCGAACCATTGTAAAAACACAAATTACTGGTTTTACGGTCTAAATATCTCTGAATATCCATCTTAACCAACTTCTGATTTTATTGCATAATATGACGATATATCGGGCAAGAGGTACATTGTATTACACTAGGACGAGTGGACTGTAATATAATTTAGCGCGTACACTATATATTTTGCTTTAGTTGATAGCTTCAGACAGTATTCGAAAGTTGTGTCTGAGGTCGAAATCGACTCGAACAACGTGAATATCGTTTCCACAATCATCATCACCATCGTCACCACCATGATCATGGACATCATCGTTCCAGGTGACAGCGGTGTCGGCGGGTCGGTCGGCGCGGCGCCAGCTGTACCGGCTGCCGGGCGGCGCCGAGCGCGTCGTGAACACGCGCTGCGCCACCGTCGTGCAGGACATCGTCAACGAGCTCTGCGAGCTGGTACGTGACATGTGCTGCCCTCTATGCTATTACTGTATTATATTCTGACGACCTCGTTGGTCTAGTGGTCGGAAAAAAGGTAGCTGCACATGAGGCCTAAATCTGTTAGTGCGGAGTCAGGAAGTGTTTCACCCCTGTGCATCGAAAGGCACGTAAAGCTGTAGATACTGCGCCTGATATTTCTCCAGTCGTATTGGATTACCATCATCTCTATAATTGTGAGACAATAAAGAGTGCACTTGTGCTGGCGCTCATACACTTGGGCACTATAATTCTCTCCTGCGCAGATGGCTAGACTCCGTTGAGAAGTCCGTTATGACAGAAATTCGGTCTGGTGACCATTATTATACTATACTCACCACCTTTGCTAGCCTGTTCTTAAAAGTGTTTCAAACATAAGTACGTTTCATAGCAATTCATCTATTACAAAAAAATGTAACGGTAAATTGAATTAGCTGTTTAAAAATTAGTTGGCCTAATTCATCTCCAAACAACAGCTCATTTATTATAAGTTAAGTGTTTTCTTATATTTAATTATTAATTTGACTATTATTCGTAACCTTTTTAATTTGTAGATCTTCACTAGACTACTTTAAAGCACAGTTTTGAACTACCTAAACATTAACTACACATATATGTTCATATTAACACTTTCACTGTCCGGTTTCCAGACACAATAGTAAGACAATAGCAGTGCCCTATATGTAGTGCACGGGACAGCGAAAGGGTTAAGTGTTATGAGATTTTTTTAATTTAGTTTAACGAGAGCTTGAAATCTTTTAACCATTTTTTTTTTTCATTTTCTTTTCATAATTTGTGATCCGATAGATTAAGATAAAATAAACGAAATATAAGTTGCACGTTTTATAAGTTATGTCTTTCAAGCTAACTTTATACCTTTTACAGTTTATCCATTATTGCAATTTCACTTAACGGGTTACTTGCTAGGTCATTGTTGTAAAAGCTTTGAAATGAAGGTGGTTAATGATAGAACATTACTATTGTAGTTATTAGTAATAACTATCAAAGATACAATATATCGATATAAAATTATATTAATTATCTAAATCTAACGATAATCCGCTACCAATGCAGTCCAGTTTCACAAGTAGCAAGTATTTATTACTTATAAATACTTTCTTTTCCCTTTAGAGGCAATTTATGGGGAGGAGTTCAGCTGTGGACTTAGATAGGCTTTTTGACAATTTATGGCAGACATATTTATTTTATGACTAACATTTACATTGCTTGATATAGTAACAAAGTTTTCGTTTGTGCGAAGGAAAAAACATCAAAAAGACAAAATTTCTTTGTAAACCATGTTATTCGTTGCTCTGTTTGTAGCTAAAATATATAAATTATCTGGGTTAGTAACGCGAGAGCAAGCGAAGTACGGTTGTGGTTGACGGGCCGTGTGGAAAGCCCCGTATAAAAATCGTTGTTTCTTAAAACTTTAATAACTTTATATTAAATTAATATATCGCAATAATTTTTTTTTTAGATAAGGGCTAAGTGTCTAGGAAATGAAACTTAGAAAACCTAATTGAAATCTATAAAGTAATTTTTCCGTGATGTGCGCACAAATGCAAACTTCTATCATTTTATTTATATAGTAGAGATAGTAGAGAGAGAGACTATCTCTTACCTGCGCAATTAAGAGGAAATGCGGGTGGTCTTTTCTCCATACAAACACTCCCGCCTGTTTCCTTTCTGGTTGATGAGCTTATTCTTTTCTCCATACAAACACTCCTGCGTGTTTCTTTTCTGGTTTACGACCTTATAGCAAAGAGTTTTTACAGTAAAGTGAATATCAACCTCTTCTATCTCCCAGCTTTCCTCTTTGATGATACATTATCTTTATAAGCACTAGAACCCTTACAAAATGCCCATAATTGCCTATCTAGACCGCTGACACAAGAGGCCTAGTGTTCAAATTTGATAACTAATACTGAAAAAAGGAAAATATAAAGACAGTGTATATCCTCCTTACTCAGTTTATGAAATATCTTTTAAATATTTGAGGAGGAAATAGTAGAGAGCCAAACCTATGTTAACCTACAACTATGTCTTTTTACTTAGGCTATTCAGTCGGATTAGCAGTTGTCCTTATCGGAGGCCGAGCGCTTGCAGAGCGACAGCGATAGTTTCTTCAAATACCTAATTATCAAAACTCTCGGCCCGCTATTCCTCTTAAGACATACAAACCAATTGACTTACTTTATGAAAATGAGGCATATATAAATCATCACATACATAAATTAGCCATAAATACTATCTCATTATATAATTTGGGCGGCAATTTAGTTTTACCATTAGAATAAATAATGGTTAACAAGGACAATTAAATTGAACGAGTTAAGGTGTCAATGCACTCGTACAGCGGTTCTTAGTTAGAAAGCGTTATTCAACATTATAATTATTGGCAATCAACAACTAAGGACAGTGATCGTCGCGCACTCAACATAAACGGTTTTGTTTAATTATCTTCCGATCGTCACCTCTATCAGCAAATCTTTATCACCGAGCTATCATCCTCATATGATATGTAACACTACATATATTTTTGATCCTTCAAGCCGAATTAACTTAACGTCCTCTTTCACTTGTATTCTTTAGTGGGCGTCACTGTGTACGCATAGAAAAGATATTAACTACCTCGTGGGTCTAGTAGCATGACTACTGATTATGACCACTGACCTCCATCCCGGTTTCGAATCCCTAATAATCTATCCCTAATAATAAATCTAAAATAATCCGAAGTCAGGCTAAAATCAGTTATTGGGTTGTTCTAACAAACAATTTTCAGTAGCAGCCCGAATTCAGACAGTTAGCAATGTTTTACCTTCGCGCCTCGGTAAGTACATCAAACCGTTGTTTCTGCTCCTGATCTCTCTCCGGTCGTGTAGGATTTCCGTTCCATCGGACTATGAGAGAGAAGAAATAGAGTGTGCAATCACTCGTACACTATAATAACCTCTTGCGAAATTCGGTCTGGAGGACTGCAAATATATCAAGGATTGTCCGTGAGCAGATTGGCGTGAGCAGCGAGGCGGAGCGCGCGGAGTTCTCGCTGTACTGCATCGTGGCGGGAGACGCGCTCACGATGCCGCTGGCGGGCGACGAGTACGTGCTGGACGTGACCACCGAGCTGCAGCGCGCACACCACCCCTTCTACCTCATTTTCTGCCGCTCCGTGTGGCACCACCCGCTGCGCACGGATGCGCCGCCGCTCTACACCGAGGTGCTCTTCAACCAGGTCAGTCCCTTTGCTAGTACCACCCACCCCCACCACCACTTTGACGTGGTAGATTTATGCTGCTGTGAAATAACTGCATAACCATAATATAGTTGCAGCATGGCTCTATCAGGCATAATTTGTGAGCCTATTTAAAAAAAATTACCACCTGGTTTTTCGGTATTGAGATGCAATATATAATTTACAGACTGGGATAGCCTTCTTATTTTTAGTTAGTTGGTTTTGTGTGATATTAGATTTTTCAAACAAGCTAACAGATCAGCTAATGACAAGTAGCTGTCATACGCCACAATGAATGAACTAAGAATACTAGCATGCGCAAGTATGCCGAACTATCTGGCCGGGTTATTGCTGTAGCCAAGCAAGAAACGCCGTTTTTATAAGATTTAAACATAAATAAGCCAGATAACAACAATATACCGGACAGCTTGTGTCTAAGTATTTGAATGAGCTGCAAATCCTGTTGGGGAAAATACCTCTACGGGGCACGCAGGATAAGATTATAGACTTAAAAGGAAGTATAGTAACGTAATTGAAATACATCCTTTTTAAGATTTTTATTAACATTTTAATATATCTCAACCTCAATGCGCCAGACCTCGAAGCAAGTCAAAAGGGGTGTATTAACAACGTACTAGAAGTGAATTTGATGTTGCGTGTAGCGCCGGACTACCTCTATGAAGCAAGCCAAAATGAAGTATATTTACAATGTGTTTGCAGTAACTAATCCTCTCTGTGGAATAATTTACCACCGGTGATTTTTCCGAACCGATACGACTTAGGGACCTTCAAGAAAAGAGCTTACTCTTTTTTAAAAGGCCGGCAACGCATCTGCAATTCCCCTGGTATTGCTGTTGTTCGTGGGCGGCGGTAGTCACTTACCCTCAGGTGAGCCGTATGCTCGTTTGCCCCCTCTTCTATAAAAAAATGTGAGTTGCATGTGGCAATGGACTCCTGGATATAGCAAGCGAAATAGGAAGGTATTAAGGTGTTAAGTGGGAATGTGTGTTGCAGGTGGCGCCGGACTACCTGGAGGGGCTGCTGCTGGTGCTGCCGGGCGGGCAGGCGCCGGGCGCGGGCGCGCTGCGCGACGCGGCGCTGGTGGGCGCGCTGCTGCACCGCGCCGCCGGCCTGGCGGACGCGCCGCACGCGCGCGACCTCAAGTACCTGCTGCCCAAGCCGCTGCTGGCGCTGCGCGAGCCGCGCGCCGCCAAGTGGGCCGCCTGGGTGGCCGCCGAGTGGCCCGCCGTGCGCGCGCTCTCCCCGCCGCAAGCCAAGGCCGACGTCCTGCAGGTGCGCACTGCCCGCGCCGCGCACACGTATACACTCACACGCACGCGCACATATATATACGCCAAACGCGCTTGCCCCGCTCAAGCCTAATTTTTAAGCTAAGACCCCTGCGTATCTGTCAGCGCTGTCGCTGCTCCACTAGCATAAACGAACTGAAACGGAAACTGATAGTTCGTTATCAAAGTTTTTAAACGACTCCGCATATTATATGGAACAAATCCGTATTAAAACACGGTGCGTTGGCCGCTCCCCGGGTTGAACACTATTCAGTAAGACATCTTTACGGGCAAACGCATTTCACACTGCACAGTTCACAAAAAGCAATTCCAATCTCAGTTCGTTAAAAATGTTTGTAGAAATATTTTTTTTTATTTAATAAAAACATCTATAAATCAGTAACGTTGCAAATTCGCACGTCAGTTTCATAACAACAAAAGTAATTTCCTATTTGACTATCTAAGTGAGAACCAAGCTTCCATGTAACACTAATTCTGGAATTTCTAATATTAATTTATCGTTTAAAATTTTAAATACTTTACTTTAAGCCAAATCAAACATACATGTGTACATTTACATATACGTAATAATATTTTTACGTGTCCACCCACGAAGCAAATAAAAAGAAGAAATGGCATAAGCAACTGTGCACTGTGATTCTAACTAGGTCCTGACGTCATCACAGTCGGCGTGGCTTTACTTAGTATACTCTCAGCGTCCGTCCTGTGCGCTTACGTGTCGAAAATCGCAAATCGGTGTATTTTCGTAGTATTAAGAAAAAAAAGGATAAAGTGTTGTGTTTTATCGTGTAAAAACTATACAGATTAACGCTCTGATGCTATGGATGGTATCACATTTCATTTGTAAGTAATTTTATACCTAATTTATTAAAAAGGTTCTAGAAAAATCTGTGCGTCGGCTTTCAAATGTAATTAAATATATTAGACGGCGACACTTTGTTTCATGGGAACTAAAAATAAAAAAGCTAAATAGAGCTCAGTATTGGTAAAATAATCATACGAAGGTGTTGAAATTTGTTTTGCATTCAGTCCTAAAAAATGTTTAATCGCCAAAATATTATTTTTATAGTTTTTATAATCATTTTGTGAACATGCCGCCATCTATCGTCAAGGTAGCAAAACTACCGAACAGTGCGAGTAGTTTTATTATATTATCGGTAAATGAAAAATAATAAAGTGGGCGGGGCTTAACATTCCCTCACCCCACAAATTGTCACGCGTTGTTACATAGTGAAATCTAATTACAACACCTCTTTGTATTTGCGCCATGTGTCCACCACACAGTAGATGTGTACGGCGCTTTATAAGCGCAAACCTGCGCATGTGCCAGGGTGGCGACATTGATTCTGCTGCTTGTTTACTATTTTATTGCGGCAGGGATAAGTGCAAGCAGCCTTTAAGCTCTATTTCTTATATAATAATTTAAAATTTTGTAAAACCGACTTCAATATAAATTATTAAGAATAATTCAAAAACTATTGGTCAGACTTTGATCTTTAACCCATATTTATATGGGACCACATGAGAAGCACCAGCTTTTAAATAAAAAAAAAGAATCATCGAAATCGGTTCACCCAGAAAAAAGTTATGAGGTAACACACATAAAAAAGAACATAAGTCGAGTTGAGTACCGTCTCTTTTTTGAATTCGGTATAAAAATAAGGGTGGCCCCAACAGTATTTGCAGCCCAATCAAATAAGGGCGGTCCATCGAATGGTAAGTGAAGATTAAGAATCAAAATGTTGATGCGTTGTCAATTCTGGGAACTCAAATGCTATAAAAGGAGCCTCTAGTTCTCTACTCTCACCAAATACAGCAGCATTAAGCTGCTATTTTACAATGGTATTTTGTGAGAGCGTGGGCCTATGTATAGCTAGCGTAGCTGCAGTATGGCTTCTAGCATTGAAGTAATATGTACAGCGTTACTAGAAGAGATACTCATACTTGGTTGTTTGTAACACGCGTTAGTACTCAAACTTACTTAATCTTAAAGTACTCTGTGCCTCCGACCACCCGCACCGCTCTGCCGCACACCGCACAGATTTTGTTTGCGGTGTTCTAGTACGTAGGAGATAATATTACTTAAATGGACTCTTGCACGTGTAAAAGTCACGGTAACACATGTCGTTTGTCTATACCAAAAAAAAGGTACTCTGTGCCTCCAACCACGCGCCCCGCACTGGCGCACAGATTATGTTCGCGGTGTTCTAGATATAACTTGAATGAGCCGTGTCGTTCGCGCAGGTGCTGTCGCGCTGGCCGCTGTTCGGGTCGTCGTTCTTCGCGGTGCGGCGCGTGGCGGGCGCCGGCGAGTGGCGCGAGCACGTGCTGGCGCTCAACCGGCGCGGCGTGCACCTGCTGCACCCCGCCACGCACGAGACCGACACGCACTGGCCCTACTCCGACCTCATCTCCACCAGGAAGGTACGTCCCACCGCTCCCCTCTCCTCGACATGCTCCATGTGTATATATATAGTGTAATGTGTAAATTATTGTAAATTATTTATTTAAGTTTATTTATTTTTACAATGATCCTCTGAGCCGAACACAAACTATGATATATAGCGAGGAGATTAACATGTTTTGTGTATTTTATAGTTCTTCCAAGCTTAATAACATCGATTATACCTGTCTTGTTCATCCCCAGGTGCGGTCAGAAGACGGCACGCTGTTCCTAGACGTGAAGGTGGGGTCGCTGCTACAGCAGCGGGTGACTCGACTACAGGCAGAGCAGGCGCACGAGGTGGCGCGTTTAGTGCGGCAGTACGTCGCGCTGCAGCGGGACCAGCGCCACTCGCCTGGTGAGCACCGCACTATGACGTGAAGATGGCGCGCCTCTTGCGGCAGTACGTCACGCTGCAGCGGGACCAGCGCCACTCGCCTGGTGAGCACCGCACTATGACGAGAAGGTGACGCGCCTCGTGCGGCAGTACGTCGCGCTGCAGCGGGACCAGCGCCACTCGCCTGGTGAGCACCGCACTGTGACGTGAAGGTGGCGCGCCTCGTGCAGCAGTACGTCGCGCTGCAGTGGGACCAGCGGCACTCGCCTGGTGAGCACCACACTGTGACGTGAAGGTGGCGCGCCTCGTGCGGTAGTAGGTCGCGCTGCAGTGGGACCAGCGGCACTCACCTGGTGAGCACCGCACTATAACGTGAAGGTGGCGCGCCTCGTGCGGCAGTACGTCGCGCTGCAGCGGGACCAGCGCCACTCGCCTGGTGAGCACCGCACTGTGACGTGAAGGTGGCGCGCCTCGTGCAGCAGTACGTCGCGCTGCAGTGGGACCAGCGGCACTAGCCTGATGAGCACCACACTGTGACGTGAAGGTGGCGCGCCTCGTGGGGTAGTAGGTCGCGCTGCAGTGGGACCAGCGGCACTCGCCTGGTGAGCACCGCACTATGACGTGAAGGTGGCGCGCCTCGTGCGGCAGTACGTCGCGCTGCAGCGGGACCAGCGCCACTCGCCTGGTGAGCACCGCACTGTGACGTGAAGGTGGCACGCCTCGTGCGGCAGTACGTCGCGCTGCAGTGGGACCAGCGGCACTCGCCTGGTGAGCACCACACTGTGACGTGAAGGTGGCGCGCCTCGTGCGGTAGTAGGTCGCGCTGCAGTGGGACCAGCGGCACTCGCCTGGTGAGCACCGCACTATGACGTGAAGGTGGCGCGCCTCGTGCGGCAGTACGTCGCGCTGCAGCGGGACCAGCGCCACTCGCCTGGTGAGCACCGCACTGTGACGTGAAGGTGGCGCGCCTCGTGCAGCAGTACATCGCGCTGCAGTGGGACCAGCGGCACTCGCCTGGTGAGCACCGCACTATGACGTGAAGGTGGCGCGCCTCATGCGGCAGTACGTCGCGCTGCAGCTGGACCAGCGCCACTCGCCCGGTGAGCACCGCACTGTGACGTGAAGATGGGCTCACGTGACACGATATGAAGCGGTGCGCCATTTTTTACATGCCTGCCTGAGACAAGGACGGATTATGTCGGACTCTCCATCTTCGCCGCATATTGATAGAGTCACGGTAACGCTTTCGCACACATCCGCGGCCCCACAAACGCCGTCCGTCTCATGGCAGCCGCTCGGAAGCAGACAACTCTCTCTTCTCCTTCTCAAGTAAGGCGCACCAGAACATACTTTTTATTATAAATCGATTCCAATTTTGGTCATTGGCCTTTGGTTGGTAACGTATATGACAAAATGAATCGTACAATTAAATCGCCGACTTCTGAATCAATTAAAATACTTGGAAATTTTTAGAATAGAATAGAATAGAATCATTTTTATTCAATATAGATTACAATACATTCGTCATATTTCAATAATTGCCTTTTTAGTCGAAAATGAACGAAGTATCATCAGCAAATAATACTATATCATTGTTATTCCCTACCAAGTAAGGTAAGTCATTAATATAAACTAAGAAAAGAAAGGGACCAAGAACTGAGCCCTGAGGAACACCCATAGATACTACCGATCCGGAACAACTGCATCCATTAATAACAACTATTTGCGTTCTATTATTTAGATATGATATAATAAGTTTAAGCGCTATGTTTTTTACACCATAATGATGTAGCTTCCTGATTATTGTCTCATGGTCACAGTCGAAAGCCTTGGAAAAATCACAAAATATACCCAAAGCATCTTCTGAATTTTCCCATGCACAGAAAATATGTATGATTAGCTCAACACCGGTATCAGTTGTGGAGAGACCATTTATTAATCCAAACTGATTATTATGGAGTAGTTTATTTACATAAAAAAAACCTAACATTTGATCTAAAATAATTATTTTAAGAATTTTGACTGAGCGTTGTCTAAAATTAGTGGGGTCCAATATACTTCCAGATTTAAATAAAGGTATAACTTTACTGTTTCATTAAATCAGGAAACTAACCAGATTCGATACTAGCATTGAAAATAATAGCAATTTGGGGTTTGATCGCATCTATTATAGACGCAATAACTTTAACAGAAATTCCCCATAGATCTGCTGTTTTCTTAATATCAATAGTTTTGAAATATTTTACAATATCACCTGATAATCTTCTATGAAATGCACATCATTCTTTTTCACAGACATTTACATTTTGTTTGAGTAATGACTCGGCGACAGCAGAGGAGGAATTAAGTGACTTTGTAGTCAAGATCACAATATCGGTAAAATTTGTTCAAAAACCGTTGCAACGTCTTGATCTGATTATGTCAAATTATTGTTAAAATTTAATTGAATGTTTGAGTTATGTATTTTCATCTTGCCAGTTTCACACAATTATTACAATATTTCTGTTTTAGAAGTCGGTTTTTACTCTTTTAAAAAAATTTATTTATTAATTTACAACACACACCCTTTTAATCATAAGACACTAGCTCAAGGTGAAAACTAGAACTTTGTTTATAGAATTACATCTAATGAAACAAATTTTTGTTACGGATTTTATCGCGTTTAATTTAACTTTTTAATTCCCGACGTTTCGGGTGCTTTATAGCCCCCGTGGTCACGGGGGCAACTAAGGTGCTTGACGTCCCGATGTCATAGTTAGCCCGGCTACCTTCAGTTTTTGAATATTAATTTTTGGTCCGATCTACGCAGAATGAGTACGCAGTTTGAGTTTTAATTACATTAAAATTTCATCCCCTACTCTTCCATCCCTAGAGAGGTAGGTTTTTCTTCAATTTCAAATAGGACCACGCTTGAGATATACTTAATACAATATTTAAAAAAAAAACACTAAAATCTGCTTACAACCAGCGAATATATCGCGTAACATACATATAAAAATATAGTAAAATTGAGAAACAAAAGGGAGGGGCCTTTTTTGAAGACAGTTACAAATCTTTTAAACCAAGTTGATAACAATATTTTATCTTTTTCAGGATTCAACGCATGAGTGCATCTTGAACACATCAGAACGGATTGAAACTAAACTGAACTGTATAGTGTGCATGTAAAATAAAACCTTCAAGGAATTGAAATTAGTCCATCTTATAAAGATTTGAAATTTGTAAAACATACTCGATATACATTTACGAATGCGATTGGGTAAAGCTAGGAAAGGATAGCATAAAAAATCAAGAAATTGTTTATTTACGAATAAAAATAATCCTAGCTTTGTCCATACGATTAAAATGATAATAGGATTTAAGGCACAACATATACGTGTTTAATTAATATAAAACGCGTCTATTCTTATATATTAGATACTTCTATTTTCATTTTAGTCATTTCTTGATTCACTTTTGTGCCTATGAATTATCAATCGATCATTATAAATATTTTAGGAAATAATATATTTTACGTTTTTTTTGTAATTAAATCCAAAATAAATAAGATCCACCAAATAAATATAAATACCACTACGAAATAAATAATATATTACTTTGTAGAACAACGGCTCGTTAGTTATATGTAAGAATTACAATGCAATTTTGAAGTACTTATTACATTCCTTCTTATTTCCGTAACTTTTTCATCACAAGAACAATTTTTAGATACATAAATGTATTTTTTGCAATAGATTAAACGATATTATTTATACCATATTTTGTTGTCTATGGAGTTCGTATTATGTTTTTATAGTATCGATATTTCCGTCAACAAAATTACAACTACGACTCACAATTTTTTTTCGTTACAAACATTCCAAAATATTTTCTACAAATCGTTTCCTCGAATTGTAACCAGAGTGAACGAGAATACGGAAGCGTCATATAAGCGTCTCGCAGAGAAAGTATCCTATCGATCGATCGCGTCAGTAGTATTCAATGTTAAATGATCCACGCATTTAGTTCAAATAGCCCTTTGGTTAACGGTTCACTTCGTCTTTCGTAATGCGTACAGCAAAGGAGTATCTGCCTGCGTCTATCTTTTCGTTCAATTACAATCTGGGTGTCTTCAAGGCAAAATTGAATCGGCGTTTGTTACGCTAAGGTGGTATTCTAGACAAGCACGGATTTATGAGTTAAAAAAATCATAGATATATGTTTTTACTGAACTTGCAGACCGAAAATAACGTGGTATCGCGTTCTTTTCTCTATCTGCCACTGTAGGGTATATGAACATCTCGCTTGCGTACGTTGTGAAACGTTTGTATGAAACTTCCACACACTTGTTCACTCTGACAAAAGTTATAACGGTGCTATTATTAATATACTTAGATTTTTATAGTAATCGTAATAGCCAGGGACTTGAGGCACATGTCACAAGACATACATTTTTACAGGTGAAGAATATTTGCTCAATTTTAAAACGGTATGACAGTATTATTTAATAAAATTATGTCACTGGCTTTAAAATAATACAGATTAGTTATCTTATGAATGACAATGTAAATTTTGTTGTTTATACTATGTATTTTTATATCAAGTCTCTGGATCTTATGTGTTAGGTATATATTATTCGTTTTATATATCGTCTAAGTGCCCAAAGACCACTGTGGTCGGAGTCATGTTTATTGTACGTTAGGGAGTTATTTTGTTGTCATGTAATATATTTAAATTAATCGATGTGTAATGAGAAAATATTGTAGATATCAATAAAGATTATATTTTAATGCTTTTCTTTTATTTTTGTAATCGTAATATCATAGAGTTTGTTAGAGTTCACCGTATAGCCGTGTAGGAGAATCTACTATCCCATAGCATCACGTGGGTGTCGTAAGAGATGTCAAAGGGAAACGGAAACAGAAAAGCAGCAGCATTTTCCTGATAACAACTAAAAATTATTTTAAAAAAAACCCGATTACTAATCTGACTGCCAAGTGTGGCAACTATGGCAAATATTCCCTCTATGAGGTAATCTATGCGGAGACCTATGTTCAACAGTTGG